ACTTATATCATTACAATTCTAGAACTCAACCTGAATAGTCAAGGTAGTAGGTATTTTTATTTAAACCCCATAAATGCTTCACAAAGACAGTTGTTGTATGGTGCTAAGAACTTGGGTTATGATTTCACACAGCTCTTAAGTTAATCACCTGCCTCCCACCACCTGTGTGACATCCTGCAAGGCACATGAAGACTAGTACTATTACTATTATATTAGTAATGAGATTGTCTAACATGCTAGGCAGAATTTTATACTTAGTGCCCTATAGTGTTTTATATTTACTATTCCATTGGATCCTCATGTAAACCTTGTGAGGCAGGTGAGTACAAGGAAGAACTAAGTGCTTCAAGTACACACAATTAGCACAAGGTCTGGAGCAGGAGCCCAGTTATTCTGTTCCCACATTTCAAATGTTTAGCCACATTCGGCTTCCTATCTAAGGCATAGTGCAGTGACTCTTCCTAAAACTGGTAAGTCATTACCACTGCTGTTGTGTTGCTATTAACAGTGATTGTAACATTAGTCACTTTCTAACAGGAAGGGCTCACGCATCCTTTCTTCTTTGCGCTCGTGTCTCTATGAACAGATCCAAGCTCTTCTCACTTAGGAAAGGCTGGTAAAATTACTACAAGTTCAGCAGGTCAATGAGCAGGTCACCGATGTCCATTTGAATGCCTGCCTTGGAGGTACACACTCTCCAGGAGCATGCTCCTTTAGATAGGATCGGTAGCTTTTTCCTTCAGAGCCATGAATCTGAATAAAAAAACTCTACACATGATGTAATCCATATTTTTTGCCCTTCCCACAAGGAGAAGATTTTTTCCTGCTGGCAGCTCTAGCTGGCATTGTGGGATTTTTCCCCAGGCAACTGTATGCAGTTAGCTGACCCTATAGCATCATGTGAATTTTCAAAGGCTACTGCTTATTGAGAATTTAACGCAAAACAACAACATTCAAAGCAGCAGTCTGGTTCAAGAGGCATCACTTCAATGTTGCTTTCTTAAACACCAACAACTAACAGAGAACAGCATTTCAAAGATTCAGTCACCTGTGAGCCTAAAGGTTGTATGTGGAAACATTAAAGAACTTTTGGCAATAGAAATATTTTCAGAACAGACAGAGGATGCGACAGCTGCCATCCAAAACTCCCTGCACCAAGAGATGCAAGGCTGGAAAAGCCAGGACTGGCCAGACAGCTCCTAATCCTCAGAAGAGCCTGCTGGTCGTCGCCCAATGTACTCACCCACAGCAAACGGCAGGCAGGGCCGCATAGGGCCACACTGGGGAGCTCCTTCTGCTCGCTGCCCTAAGCCATGCTGGCTCAAAACCATGGGTCACATGAAAGTATTTGGCTAGTATGTTATCCAGCTATTTAGCAGGTTAGTGTTCCATGTCTAAAACAATTTCTTGGAGCTAGGTCTACTTGCTTTAGCATCACCCTGGGTGCTTATTAGAAATGCAAATTCTTATGCGTGTTTGTCTACTAACTAGGTTATTATGTATCTCCCTTATTGGCATGTAAGCCTGGAGAGTAGAAACTGGTCTGTTTACCCTGGTCCCCAGTGTTTAGCACATGGTCAGTGCTCAATAAGTACTTGTGGGATTCATCAATTTCTGGGTCTTATAACTGACTGACTGAATCAAAATCCCTAACAGCCAGGGGCAAAGAATCTGCATTTTAAAGGCCCACACAGTCCTAATCAGTTTAGGACAGAGTGTTGGCCCCTGGACAGAAGGGTCCCATGCTCCATTCTGGTCCGGGCACATACCTCAGTTGCAGGCTCCATCTCTCCTCTGGTTTGGGGGGTGTGTGGGAGGCAAACAGTCAATGTGTCTCTCTTACATCAATGTGTTTCCTTCCCCCCCCTCTCTCCCACACTCTCTAAAAATCAATGGGAAAATATCCTCAGATGAGAATTAACAAATATAAATATTAAAAATAAATAAAGGGGCACACAGATGATTTTATGTGCACTAAAATTTAAGAACCATTGTTCTAAAGCCAGCCAATTCTAAGATAAATGGAAATATTTTTGTCTCCAGAGGCCTCCACACTAGCTGTCTGGTCAAAGAATAAAGCAAACATAGTAATATCATCCTTGAGTTAAAGTTTTGCCTTCTAGTTACACACATCCAACGAATGTTGAGCTGCCACCTGCAGTGTGCCAGGCTCTGGGTTCTGAAGTAGATAAAACAAATATGGGAGTGGAAGACAGAATGCCTTTATTTTTGCTTAATAACAGCCCCAATGTGTAAGAGTAGTAATGTTGATAATTCAGATACCAAAGAGAAGCCATAAAGTGCTTTCTTTACGTGAAAAGGTGATTACAGACAATAAGCTGTTTTCAGAGAGAATGAGAGAGAGAGAGAGAGAGAGAGAGAGAGAGAGAGAGAGAGAGAGAGAGATAGAGAAGGTAGGGAGAGACCACATTTACTTAATTTTTATTGCAGTATATTACTTAATTGTTCTGTTATTATTAGTTGTTTATCTCTTACTGTGCCTGATTTATAAATTAAACTCTCTCATAGGCATGTATGTATAAGTAAGAAGCATAGTATATACAGGGGGTTTGGTTCTACCACTGGAGGTCTTGGAATGAATGCATCCCCCTGGCTAAAGAGGGCATATTGCATGTGACTGCCCCACAGCTCACTGATACAGAAATGGAACAACAGTACATCGCTGTTTTCCTGGAAGACTTGAATGACACCTCTGATCCATGAAATTAAAATATTTTCTTAAATGGTTTATCTTATCCTAAAAGATTCTAATTTTCCCAAATAGGCTCCCTATATGTTTGGCCCTTCGAGTTTGTGCCAGAAGCTGCTCATTTTATTTCTAATGACAGCCAGTCTTTTACCAGCTTTTGATCTTGGGCAGTCACTTTGCCTCTCTTGGCCTGTTTTTTCATTTGTAAAAGGAGACAATGAAACCAGAATCAGGTTTGAGCCCCTTCTAATTCTAATGTACCCTAATCTGTGACACCTTCCTGCCCAAATTTAACAGAACCATGTAGCAGTGATTAGATGAGGAGATAGCGGTTGTCAAGCTAGTCCTCCTCAAACTTTGCAAGGCAGTCAGGTGATTGGTTTTAGTAGACCAGGTAAAATTGGGGATTTGTAAACAATGTATGAGAATTCTCTCAATTTCCATACACTACAAAGGCACTAAGTAAATGTAATGTGCTTAGAACTTTATATAAAATATAAATATCTGCAATTCCTCTGAAAGGTGAACATTTTGTTTATAGCAGGGCTGGAGTGAGGTGTTCTGGTCTAGGAGAGGTGAAAATCACTCCTTTGAGGTTGCTCCCAGGCTAAGTGTGAAGTGAAGAGAGAAACACAGGAAGTGAGATGCCCTCCCACCTTCGCACTCCCTCTGTCCCTCCTCCTGTCTCCATTGCACAGAAGTGCCCCGTTGGCTGCTCTGAGTTGGAGTGCACCCTTTGTACCAAATGCACATTCAATGCCTTTGTTCGCTACCCCCCTGACTGACCAATTGCTGTTAACTTGTCTATAACCATCACCAGGTAATTGCCTTTTAAATGCTTTTCTTTGGCAAACAGCTTCGCATAAATCAGTGGTTCTCAATGCCTTCAGGCCTAATGTCTGCTTTATATTCAAACTGTGTGCAACACCTCCTTTATTAGCCTGAAATAAAAACTGTAGAACATATAACTTACCTGCTCACTATATAAGGCACAAATTATGTTTTTAAGTGGAGAAATGGTAGCACAATAACAATAAAATAACATTTCAATATGCAAAACCTAAGTCATTATCACACTAGGAGATGTAAGGAAGCAGCCCAGTTCTTGTGCTATATCTGGAGTCACAGGGACAGCCATGATGGGCTACTGAGCTAGTGACAAATACTGATACCCCTTTTGCTGCTCACTAAATGCTAGTAGCATCCTCCCACCATTTATTGTTAAACCTCCTCCTCATAATTTACTTCTCCAAATTGCTTTTAAAAAAACACACACCTAGATCAAGGACCTTGCTGTGAAAAGTTTAACCGGTCTAGCAATTTCAAGAGAGCTGTGTTGGTTGAAATAATATTTTACTCCTCCGGTGCTCTGTACCTACTCTGTCCTCTGCCCTTTGCCTGTGCTTCCCCTAACACCTTAGATAGGAATGTCACAATACATAACAACAATTCCAACAGCAAAAGCTAACATTTATTAAATGCTTCCCATAAGTCACGCACTTTTAAAATACTTGGCATTTATTAACTCATTAAATCCTCATAACTCTATGAGTGATATTACCTCTATGTTCTAAGGTTAGTAATAATAATACACACAGGGAATTAAGAAACTTGACTAAGATCAAACATTTTGCTATATCTGGCTTCTTGGAGAAATCAACTCCTCTAGTTGTTATAATTGTGGGGTTTTATAGCAAGCAAAGCACTACTTGTGTTTTTATTTTAGGAAAGAAGCATTATGGGGATGAAAGGATGTTTTCTTCCAATTCCTGTTTGAAATTTGAGTTTATGAGTTCTTGGCCTGCTTCATGACTTTAGCACTTAGTGTGTAATGACTTTAGCACTTAGTTAGCTTTTTGGCTTAATAGTTCATTTGAAGGCTTCAGAATGGATTTTCTCGTCGTGGTGTTTTGTCTATATGTGAAGTTGCAGGTCCATTCATTAGAAGATTTGAAGTACAAGTCTTTTTCTGCACTCTCCCCCCATTGCCAAATGTCTTGCTCCAAAGCATCCTTGTTTTAACCAAATTAAGGGGATGACTAAAAAGCAGGGTCTGTGTCGAGTGCACAATAGTAGGAGAGAGTCCCCGGATCTTGCCAGAAATTGCCGTCTTGCATCATTCAAGGAGGAAATGCATTTCTTTCTGAAGAAATGAGAGTTGTTTAAATTGATTATTATTATTATCAATGGTTTAGGGTTGGATTTTTACCCTCATGTTGCTGCTTGCCAAAGACAAAAAAAAGTAAATTATTCAAAGCAAATCTATACAGTAATCTATTTTTCCTTTCAGGGGAAAAATGATCCCATCTGACCTTGAAAGAAGGATCATTGAAGCCAAACAAAAAGTAAGTTTTTGTAGGGAGCTTTATCTAGCTCATAACAAGCTAAAGGTCACATTTATAGTCCTATCCGGTGGAGAACACATTTTGGTTTTAGTTTTTTAAAAGAGCACTTGCATCTCAACCTCCTAGCTTCAATGAGAATATGGAATTTTGCATCTATTCATTACTTATTTCTCTGGGTTGTAGGTTCTGCTTTCTAAAGGTCTAAATTGCAGAATAAATAACATCCACATAATATTGTAGGAGTTTCCAAAGCATTTGTCTTCTTGTGTGAAGAGGCTTGGCACCAAGCAGACACTTTTGAAAGATCAAGAAGTGGAAAATAACAGGATGCTAATGCAGCGTGTCAGTTACTGCTATGAGGTTATTGGAAAGGGGCCATTTTTTCCCTGCCTGTACACATACTGGTATGCCTGGCTCTCCAAATGCTTTTTTTTTTTCCAGAAACCATTTAAAACTCTTTTTAGAAATAACGAGTTCTAGAGACCTGCTACAGATTCCCACAAAGCTCTGAAAAGTTATGTTCATCCCTGAATAGTTCGCAAGCCAGAGAGCTTATTTCTAGAATTCTCTTAATTTAATGTCTACTGAATGTAACCTACAGCTCCTAGTTCAACGCTGAACACCTTTTGATTATTATGAACTCAGGAATAATTATTTCTATTTATATGTCTTCCTCCCCCAAGGTTTCCATTGTTCTTGTACTAGAACTTCTTGTAAGATAAATCACAGATTAGGCCTTTGCTGCCACCTACAGACTAACTCTGTAACATCATGCTGTAGCATGTGGAGTAACAGTCATTCTGCTGTCTTTCAGCAGCCATCTCTTATTTCAATCCCTTTCATTTACCCAGGGCCAGACAGAGAACTAGTAACTCTCATAAAAGCCAGGGGTTATAGTTTAGCTCCACATGAATCCTCTTCTCTAAGACTCCAAATAAGTTATCTGAGGATTTTGGAAATAGGAGTAATGAGCTAGTTGGAGTTCCTTCTCATTGTTCTCCTTTCTGCTTATTTATTAAATTCTGTTTTCCTTTTATGAACAAGAAAGACTAGAAATTTAGCAAAGGATAGGAAGAAAGGCCAGAAAACCTCCCTAGAAAGTATAAATGACTGAGCACCACAAAGCGTGTTCCCCTCTGGGTCCAGTGTAGCCTCTTCTGAGACTCAGAATGTCTTCTGTTCTGGAGGAATGGCCTGGAGAACTCCAGTCCTTGAGCATGAACACTGTTCCTTACCAGGCTGTGAGGTTTCAATGGCCTTTCTGATGGTTCCAAAAATGTGCCTGTAAGAAAGGGGGTTTCCTTGCTTTTGCCAGCTATTTTAAAGAATCTTTGGACCGCTGTTTTATATGTCTTGGGGCTTTCTCATTTGCATAGGGATTTGTCCCTTTCCTTGTGAGTGCCACAGCTGGGACCACCGTGTATGGAGCATTTGATCCCCTCTTAGCTGTCGCTGACATTTGCAAAAAGTACAAGATCTGGATGCATGTGGATGTAAGTATCCCATAGGCCTGCCACTAAAATGTCCTTATGCATTTTCACCTCGGCTCATGGAATGAAATATGTTGAAATATGTCCCCTCTCTCTTCTCTCTCTCTCTGATCTTATTTTCAAATGGTAATGGTTCAGCTTTTAATAACTGCAAAGATAAAATAGCTCGCAATTGAAAAAACATACAAATTCATTGGAAGCAGTCTGAGGTTGATTATGTCTTAATGTTCTCAATATGATAATATTCTTATTTCTTTGGCCAGTACCTGAGCTGAGCACTCATTTCTTAATCCATTGAACCACAATGTTCTTTGTACACACACACATACAGAGATACACAGCACACACATGCAGAGCTTACTGCCTTACAAGAATGCTCAAATGAATAAATAGGAATTTCATTTATATAGAAAACCCAAAGGCTCAAAAAACTCAAATCAAGTATTTGTATATACTGAGAAGAAAGCAGACTTGACAGCTTGCTAAGAAATACCTGCCACCACATTTTCAATTTCTTAGCTTGATCAGCTAAGAAGATAAACTAGATTCGAGAATTTTGACTCTAGGTTTAGTCACGCAAAAAAAAAAAATGCCCACGAAAACATTTTCAAATGAAAAACTGTCAATTTTTAGAAGGACAAATTGCAGGGATTTACATTTAGGCTAGTATTTTTCAAAATGTGGTTCGAGATTAGCTGCTATCTGCAAACTGTTAATAATCCAGGATGAGATAAGGAGTCGGTGTCAAAATATCGCTAAGCACATTATTTGATAAAGCTGACTTTTTAAAGTATTAAAATATTATTATTATTGTGTGGCTTTCTCAGTGAAGGAAGCATAAGCTGATTCTGGTGCAAGAATGTTGGTGAGTAGCACTGACTTTAGGCCATCCTGGCTTTATGATAAGTATTCAGAGCAAATTATTTTCCCCTCTCTTTAGGAGCAAGAAACATTCAAAGGCTAAGCTAGATAAACTTCTATTATTCCAGAGGTATAGTCTGCATAGTAATTACCAAATTTCTTTTCCTTCCCTGATTTACAATGTGGTTGTGCATTAGGCTAGCAGAGACCCCTTCATTTTATACGTGAAGACACTGAGAAAAGGTTGAACAACTTGAGTACCTTCAGTGACCTGGTTTCAGAAATGAGAGTCTGTTAAACCTTGCTAGCTGACTCAGGAAGACAATTACCCTGACTCCTTTAAAAATAGCAATGTCCATGTGTCCTAAACTAGCAGATGCTGTAGTCTCTCTTTTAGGATTATAATTACAACAGAGCTGGGAGGTCTTTTAACCAATTGTATTAGCTTTTTTTTTTTTTTTTTTTTTTTAATATATCAAGTTTACTACTTATTCTCTTTAATTTTTATACATTCTATAATTAAACAAAAAAATCTTAAAAGATTACACATTTGAAAAATTGTTCAAATTTTGAAAGTGTAAAAGAACTGAAATTACAACAAAGCAGGGGGAGCAATTATACCCTAACAATGGTGGCTTTTTTTCCTTCAAAATGATCCCAGGAATATTTTTTACCCACAAAGAAGGTTAATATCTTCCAATGAATCTTTGTCTTGACATCCTATTTTTAAAGATTACTCTGCCAATTCAAATCTTAAAACTTGAGAAAAAAAAATTTAAGGGCCATGTTCTAATTGCTAATTAATTGACTGGTACAGATCTCTCCTGCTTGTTTTTTTTTTTTTTTTTAATATATTTTATTGATTTTTGTACAGAGAGGAAGGGAGAGAGATAGAGAGTTAGAAACATTGATGAGAGAGTCATCGATCAGCTGCCTCTTGCACACCTCCTACTGGGGATATGACCACAACCAAGGTACATGCCCTTGACCAGAATTGAACCCGGGACCTTTCAGTCCCCAAGCCGATGCTCTATCCATTGAGCCAAACCGGTTTTGGCCTCTCCTGCTTGCTTTTATGGTGGTATGTTTTTTGTTTGTTTGATTGTTTATTTGTTTGTTTCGCTTTTGACAGAGAAATTAGTTTATCCAAAATTACACAGCAGTGAAGTTGGATTGTGAAGCCGCATCCTTTCTCTGGATTTATTCAGAATTGTCAAAAAGAGTTTTCCTTGCAACTAGGAAGATGTTTAAAGGGTCCCCAGCCCATGTTCTTGACTCTACACTGTGCAGATAATAGGTTTTCTTGCTCTGAGATGAAGTGCTTTACTAGGACTGAGTGCTGGTGATGGGATGTGGGGAGAATCCATCTCTTTCTCTTGCAGAGTGAGGGAAGGTGGCTACAATGTGGCTCCTTACCCCCATATAAATGTGGAATGGAGTCTGAGACCTTAGAATAGCCCCCAATTTAAATTTTGAGAATCTAGTGCTAGAAGGTGGCCTGGGGTCAAGGAGATGCTCACTGTTCTGAAAGACACCAAACTATAGAAATTTAAGCAATGAAAATCTGCCACCTTTTTCCTTATATGATCTTCCTTCTTTAGGCCGCTTGGGGTGGGGGATTGCTGATGTCCCAGAAACACAAGTGGAAACTGAGCGGCGTGGAGAGGTACACACTTTTCTTGTTCACAATGTTAAATGTGAAAGCTAAATGTTGAAAATAAGTTACACCCGGTTTCTAAGAGCGGTTGTACACAGGTGAGCCCATTCTGTGCAGTCCTTGTGTGCCTTGCCTTGTGTGGTCATATATGTGTAAACACTGTGTGTAATCAACAAAAAGAAACCAGAGCCCATATCTAATGACACAAAGGGAATATTTTTCACGCACAGATTCCAAACTGTGGCCATAATTCACCAGAGAAATCAGGAATGACCTTCCTAGAATCTCTGAACAAACAATCAAAATTGTTTAAACTTTCCTAGGGATATTTATGGCTTTTGGGTTCCATAAAGTATAACACCCACTGCTTTAAAGAAGCCAGTAAATAACTTAGCAGTGCAAACAAACACCTTGTAATTTATGATGACTTTGAGTTTCAATGACCACTTTGCTTAAAGTGGAATATGCTTTTATTCCCATGGTATTTTTTTTTTCCTGATATAACTCTAAGGGATGCTGCAAAGCACCTTTATTCAGAAACTAAGCAGTAAATCATTGAGAAAAAGCTATAAAACACAAGAGAGGTATTATTTGATTAGTGTAAACCATATTCAGATCCACAGCACAAAGGAAACAAAAATCATAGAATGAAAAACTAGCCCTAGGCTCTGAACCATGTGCAGTGGAAGCTCAGAGTTCCCTGTTCTCCCATCATGACATTGCAGGTCAACTGCTTGGTGAGCTCTGACAAGCCAGGCAACTGAGCAGGCCTGAATTCATTGGAGGCTGCCAAATCCCCAGTGTGCCCTGCCAAATAGCCAGATGCTACCCAGGAGAAGCTTTCCACTGGCTCTGCCCTGAGACAGCTTGGCACAATTTCTGTTCCAGGATGAGGAGACAGGCTGGTGGCACTCGGGAGCATCCGTCAGCACTGGTCCTGCAGAGCAGTCAGGCCAGACCAATATCCAGGGAATCTAGGAGTAGAAAGATGAGTGGGGTTGCCCAGGCAGAGTCAGGGGCACCCTGCCTACTTAATGAAGAGAAGACTGGGAGGACTCCAGCTAGACCAGCGGAGTCGCTGTCCTGAGTTGCTGCCCTTGCTCTGATTGTAGGTGCCTGTGGGTGTGGGTGGATGAGGACAGGCCTGTGCCTTCCTACAATGAGCCACTTCTAATCTCTGCTCCTGGTCCTTCAGGGCTTCTCACAGCCTCATCCCTTTTGTCATGAAGATCTGCTCAAAACTCAAAGCTTAAGGAGGAGGCAATGAACCAAACAGGGAGAGGCAATAAACAAAAGGGAACAATTGGGGAGGTGCCTGTTTAAATAATTAGAACAGGAATTAAATTCATTTGATTTTGACAGAAGTGTTCTGTACACAGTACCTTCTCTTTTCTGAGTTTCTTTGTGTGACCAGCACAAAAATGAGTATCTGTTATTCTATCTTTAATGCTACCTGGGACTCAAAGTGCTAAAAGCCATGCAGCATCCTACACTGATGATGACTTAAAAGCTGCTAAATTACCTCCCCTGAGCCTGGGAAAAACACACCCACACACCTTTGCACTAAAGACTGTTATTTGAGAGGAAAGCTTAAAACACTCGCCATGGAACAGAGTCCTCTGTCACTACCGCAGTTCCTGTAGCTATTGTAATGAACTCTACTCAGTGGAACAGCCAGACATGAAGTCCTAAAAACGAGGGACTCATGGTGTTTTGCTTTGATCAGAATCCTTTCAGTTCCCTCCATTTATCTGAGATGATTCAGCTTGCTGATTTATCATCAGCCAAAACACACTTATGTCCATGAATAAGGTTGCAGGGCCCGTGGAAACCCCTGGGCCTAATGTGCACGGGCACAAATTTAGGAAAGAAATTGGCCTCACTTGGAGTATCATGTTTTTCCGAGCATTAGGACTCATGCTAAAGTGGAGGAAATCGATAGTTGATTTTTGTCCCCAAATCCAGAGGCTTCCTTGTGGCCCCAGAGGTCCCAGAGTGCTGTCCTCATAACAAAATGGTACAAGCTCCAGAGCCCTGTCTGGCATCTCCTTCAAGAACAAACCCACTTCTCAAAAAGCAATGCTCTTCCTCGCTAGCACTGTGCAAATGGCTAGAGATGGTGTCACTGAGAGTGCTGCCAAGAGCCCCGAGGCTCCAAAATCTGTTTCTGTGCACTGTAAACAGGCTATTAAAAAAAAAAAAAAAACACACCTCCATTGACTTCAGAGAGGAAAGAAGAGGGAAAGAGCAATAGAAACATCAATGATGAGAAAGAATCACTGATCAGCTGCCTCTCACACACCCCTCTACTGGAGATTGAGCCCACAACCCCGGAATGTGCCCTGAACCATGACCTCCTGGTTCCTAGGTTGAAGCTTAACCACTGAGACAAGCCAGCTGGATGTAAACTGACTTTAACCCTCCCCCAGCAGGCTGCTGCGCATTTACATGAATCCACTGCTCTGGTCTGCTCTCAAGGCTCTCTGGCCTAGCTGAAGGTTCTGATGCAGCTTCTACCCTGTTACCAACTTTGCCCTCACTTCCCTCCAAGAGTCAGAGGTTCTGAAATTCAACTCACTAGTTGCAGAACCTCTGCCATATGCAAGCCTCATGGCATACTAGGCTCCATGAGAGCACAAGGATGAATATGACAGGAAGCCTGTCTTCAAGGGGCTGAGACTCCACCTGGGAAGACTGACAATCAACAATGGATTAAAATTCAAGGCAGAGAAAGTAAAGGCCCAACACACAGACAAGCGAGCTGTGTGGAGGGACCAGGAAGGAAAGAGTCCTCCTGAACATGGGTGGGCATGGGAGCTTTAATAGGCAGAAATTGAAGAAATACAGCAAGATGATGACAGGGACTTGCAGGCTTGAAAGGGTCCTTGGAGAAGTTCAGTTCAGTTGCGTGGAGACTGTGATGGAGTCCTGGCAGTGCCTAGGAAGCTAGCAGAGTGTCTGCAAATCCTGTCCAGTGCTTATGCCCACAGAGCAAGGTCAGGCTCTATCCTTGAGCCTCTATTATGCACAGAAAGCATTACATTTCTTGGACTGGGGAAGAAAGCAGTTGAACCCAGGAGGTAGGGAAAGATAACTGCAAGGGGCACTGTCAGGGGACCAGGAAGAAGAGAATGAAAGCAGAGTCTCACAGGTTAGGGAGCTGGATGTCTGGGAGGAGAATGAAGCAGGGTACAAGGCATAGAAGATTGAAAAAGAAAGATGAGGTCTGGAAGGATGAGAGGAGCCAGGGTCTGCTAAGGTTGAGATGCAAATGAGGGCACCTGGCTATGTCTGAAAACAGCCCTAGGGGACTCAGTTCTCTAAACTTGTGAAAAATCACAGACGCCACTTGTCTGAATCCAAGGGCAGAATATTTTGAAATAAACCCAAGGGTGTTTTTTATAAATTGCCAACATTTCTCCCATAAATTAAGGCTGCATCATTGAATCACTCTGCTCAGCTTTTTGCTGTTTTTATGAGGCAACCCCTCTGGAACAGAGCAGGACAGTGACAGGTAGCTGTGGACTTGGGCGCATTGGCCACTGCATAAACACCTACAGCCAGAGCAATGGAGAACAGCTGTTTTATTTTCCATTAGAGTCGTTAGTGATGGCTGAGTTTCCTCAGAAGGAGATCTATACCTGTCCAATATAATAGAATGGAATCATCTATGTGCCACTGTTACAAGCTCATAATTAAGAAAACTGAAATTAATAGCAAAAGCCAACCTTATTTAGTGCTATGGTATGTCAGAGAGTTCTAACCACTTTACTGTACTATTATTGTACTTACAGACAAGGAAATCTAGGCATAGAGAGGTTGACTAATTGCTCAAGATCACATAGCTAGGAAGTGATAGAACCTATATGCAAATACAGATTGTCTCCCCTAACCACTGTTACCTACTGCTTGGAGCCCAGGTTCCTTGATTCTGGTCCTGAAGTCATCTAGCCCTCTTTCCAGGGGTAGTATCCACCTGGTCATGAACTGCCTATGCTTCTTGCCTCAATTCCAGCCAAGAAGAAGAGCTGGACTATTCACTGATCAGATAAGATCCCCAGGCCAGTAAGTGTTCATCCAATTCATCCAATTCTATTTATCCAATAGATGAGCCAGATCTTTCCCAGCTTCTTGTTTTGCCTCAAGGATTTTGTACCTTGGGTGCTGGGCACAGGGTGAGCCAAGTCTGTTGTTCAGCCATGGGGGCAGCACTCACAGCAGCTGTCATGGATGGTACTGCTACTCTCCTCCTTTTGCCGATCTCTTTGTACCAAAGTCATATGCAGCTTCTCAGAAGTTGTGCACAGGGACTCACTTGTCTGATAAGCATAGAAAGTGAGCAGTAGGAGCTCACTGAGGGACAACTGCTTTTTCTGGGAACTGGAGGAGTGCCGGGAGGCTTACCCAGTGTCTAGAAGGATTAAAGAATCTGGAGAAGGGCTGTGGTAAATTAGTAGAGTCTAGAGACGAAACATAATTTTGGAAGGCATTTTGGGGAGCCAGAGGAGACTTGGCTAAAAAAAAAAAAGGCAAGTTCTTCAGTCTCTCTGGACCCAGAGCTTTTTATTTACACAAATTGCCCTGAAGCAGATATACATACCTAAAGGTGAGGTTTGGTATACAGTAAGATTATCAGGTTTTGGAGAAACTGCCTTTGGCTGTTCAGGTGTTTGGCCAGCAGGAAGCAATAACATGTCGATTGAAATGCCCTCAGCTGTCTGGCAGCAAGTAATCATTTATGCATCCTTTTCAGGTTTGGGGAAATGGCTTCAGCTGTTTCCAACAGGCAATAACATGTGATTCAGCCCTGCTGAATTCCCAAGTTCCATCAACCTTTTGATGAAACTTCTTGCATTTATGACATGCTGGAATCAGCTTCTGGCAGAGGAGGAGGCGGTTGGAGCAGTAAAGTTGAAGTGAGGGAGACAAATTAAATGAAGTCCAAGAAAGATTCAAAGACTTGACCCAGGCCTTAACCTGTTAACCGAGCAGGACGTATAAATACATCAAACATAAATAATATCGGGTACGGGTAGGACATATGAATACGTCCTTGAAATATATGTTAAGCCCTGAAATGGGTGGGATGTATATTTCTGAACAACAAAGGTATTAGTCATCCATACATGTCTCCACATGAATTTAAGACATGGAGGGAATCAGTATAATTTTGCTAGTGATAGTGGTGGGCATGTTCAACAAGAATTGTTTTGGAGTTAACACATGACTTACTGAATAAAGGGTATAGGATTTACTTAGATAATTTCTATACGTCAATTCATTTGGCTTAACTCTTGTGTCAAAACAATACAGACATTGTTGGAACAATGAAGATAAACAGAGTCAGAATCCCCAGTGAAATAAAAACAAAATAATTACAGAAAAATGAACATATAGTAAGATTCAAAGACAAACTTATGGTTTTAAATTGGAAGGATAAAAAAGACGTATTGATGCTCAGTTCTGCTCATAAGGACGAAAAGACAATGATTGAAAAGAGAGGAAGAAGGCAAGAAAAACCGAATGTTGTCCTGGATTATAATAAGAATATGGGTGGTGTAGATTTGGGAGATGGAGTTATGGTGGCCTACACGGCTGTCTGTAATAGGAAAAAAAAATTTATAAAAATTTTTTTCTACGATTAATTGATATGTGCTGCTTCAATGCATATATTATATACAAAAAAGATAAAGGTCATTTGAATCGATTACACTTTTTGATAGAGTGTGTAGAGAAATTGGTAGATAACAACATAGTGAAAACCCACCGAAAGACATCAACAAACAGCTCTACATCTAAACCATCACGCTTAGTTGAAAGGCATTTTCCAGAACAAATAAAAAGCAATATAGGAAAAACTAAATCCAGGAAATGCCGAGTTTGCTACAAAAAAGGTGTTAGAAAAGAATCTACATACTGGTGTCCGGATTGTAAGGTAGCACTATGTATCAACAATTGTTTTAAAATATATCACATGGAAGTTGAGTTTTGAATTTTTACATCTATATTTTAATTTTTAAACTCAATATTTCTATTTATTTTTGTGCTTTTGTTTATTGTTCTGTAATTGTTAACTTTTTAATAATTTTTATTGTGTATCAAAATTAAAAAAATATATTTTTTGTAATCTTTATAATTGTTAGTAAAATTTATAATTTTTTAATTCGATGTTTCCATTTTGTTTGTATTCTTTTCTATTTGTTTGTAATTTTGTATTTTCCTTTCTGCTTTATATATAAATAAATGAAAAAATATATATTTCATAGTCTTTTCATTTATTTTAAGTATAAATAAAAAAAAATAATATGAAATTACATCCTCCGGGAGTGTGTACTGACATGTCCTAGTGAAAGAGTATGCGCCCATTATATGTTGCATAATTAAAAAGGGAATTCCCTGGTTAACAGGTTAAAGAATAAGTAAAATTTAGCCAAGTGAGGCAAAGGGAGGTGTCATTCAAAGAGAAGAACTCACATTAAGAGACCTTGGACCAGGAGCGCAGAATTTTCTGAGGAAAAAATAAAATAGTCTGGTGTGGTGGAAATGGGTACAAGAAAGTGAAAGGACAAGATCAAACACATTAGATGCCATGTGAGTATCATAACCATACCCTGTCATTTGAATTTGGGCTGGAGGCAAAAGGAAGTTGTCAATAATTTAGAAAGAGGAGAGGTCCATAAACAGCTAAGAGGTAACTATGGAGCTGGGGGGAGGATAAAATGGAAACTGAGAGTCAGTTAAGACATGATTGCTGTATCTAGATTAAAATAATCATAATTCTTATTATTAAAGGAATCTGAAACAGGACTATGGCTTAGACTTTTCAAACAGCATAAATCCCTAAGCTGAGATTCACTAATAATGATGATGGAAGAACATTATATTTCTCCAGTGTGTTAAAACCAAATTGATTAAAAGCTGCTGTTGTAGCTGTAGTGTGTCTCACTTGCAGTCTAAAAGGATAACTCTGGATTCAAGAAGAAATGGATGCAGGGATAAGTTAGAAGCTAGTATGAAATGAAACATTTGAGAAATTTGGTCATCAGTTGAATCAGAAGGAGGAGAAACTGGGTTGGGAAAAGGTCAAAATTCAGCAGTGGAAAGAACCATGGCTCTGAACTCCAGGCCACCACTGTGTCAGGAGCAGGGACAGGGGAGACCGGCACCATGGCAGCTTATTCACTTGCCTGCTGCTCTGCTCTTTGGTAGCCAAAAGAGGCCATGGACTGGATGATTCCAGTTATTTGAAGGGGCTCTCAGTCCACCTTGGAAGTCTAATGAATGCCTGCATGGAAAGGAGAAAAGGATACAGATCTGCTGGTTCTTTTGCAAACTTAGTGTCTTCCCAGCATCTGAAAAATAGTGCCAAGAACTCCAAAGCTCTGTTGCCCAGGCACAGGGAAGCAGTCTGAGCTTGTCGTGATGCCACCTTTTAACACAACTTGTTTTCCTTAGGGCCAACTCTGTGACATGGAATCCACACAAGATGATGGGCGTCCCTTTGCAGTGCTCCGCTCTCCTGGTTAGGGAAGAGGTACGTCATTTCGACTGGTAGCCCAGCCCATCTACGGGGCTTCATAAAGTAAATGTGTGCAGTGATAGAATCAGAACACAGACGACGATTTTACAGGCTGGAACAGTGAGTTAGATCCAAAAAGGGGAATTGTCAATAAAGAGGATTGTAAGGTCTCCTCTTATGCCCTAGGATAGTCTGGTTTTAATTTTACTAGACAAGACAGTCATGTGTTACTCGTGGCTAAATTGTTCTACTTGAGAAAAAGCCTAAAACATTGGGTTGTAATCTGTGGGGTTAAAAATGGGTTTAAGAGAATTACTATTCACAAAACATTAATGGGATAAAAGAGTGAAGATTCAGGATGAGGGAGGTGGTAGACTTCCACGTCTTCCGGTTAAAACACACCTGGTGGGGTTTGCTTATGTTTGTGCCAAATGGTATATGGGACCCTATCAAGCTAAAGCTTAAATAGTAGAGAACACTTGGTAAGCATGTAAAAGAAGGGTTTGAAAGAACTAAGGATGTTTAAAGGAAGGAAGGAAGGAAGGAAGGAAGGAAGGAAGGAAGGAAGGAAGGAAGGAAGGAAGGAAGGAAGGAAGGAAGGAAGGGCCTGAGAATATAGTCTGTGTTTAAATTACTCTCACATGGAAGATATTTAGTTTTTTTCTTGAGGTTTCAGGGAATTGGTTTAGTAACACTGCTTGGTACATATTTGATGGCAAAATTAGAATACACCATGATTTTACATCTGAGTTGGGGGTCAATAAAATAAATACTTTTCTGAAAATTAAACTGCCCAAAGAATAATGAATCCTTTATATAAAAATAAATGCCTCATCAGGGGAAGTGATTGAATGAAGTTGGACAATCACTTATCAGTAAGAGGATAGAAAGGATACCCTCATTGGGGGAGAAATAGATCTATAGCTCCAGGATTGATTCCAAATCTATGATGCTGTGACAGCATTGCCTTTACTGGGAACCAAGGAATAATGCCATTCTACATATTCTGCAGTGAGAGAATTCTTAGTCTTCAAAAAGCTTGTGATGCATTGGGTTAAAAGTTGAAAACAAGCTTAATTATTCTGGGCATATCAGAGCCTTTTAATATGCAAATATCTGGAAATAAGAGATTATTATATAAAATTTTCTATGCTTATTGACCCTGGGAATCTCTTTGACAGTAACTAGTTTACAGCATTACACCTATTTATGTATTTATCATAGTTTGGGACATAATAGTTTATAACTTTGTAATGGCCCAGAAGCAGGATACTTTCTGACTAAGGTCCTTTATATGAAAAACAACATCACTTCTACTTATCCTTTTACACAAGGAGACGAGTTCTATCTGACCTTTCAGAGGTCATTTGCTCTGAGTGACCTTTCCTAACCCAGGAGAAGCTGATCTGATCCATCTACCATTCCACACTCTGGGACGGCTCCCTTAGGACTGATAGTACCTTAGGCAAGCTTGTAGGGCAGAGGAAGGTTGGTACCAAGTTTCTGTGACTATGAAACAAAACAGAATCACCTGGAGCAATTTTTTACTTTGTAGGTCAAGTGAATTTTCATTTTCAAATTCTATGTCTTTCTACTGCCCTATTTCAATTATATTGTGTAATTTCCTTTAGTCTCAAAATAAAAATAATTTAATTCACTAAATATTAACCCTAAACCACAAGGTTGAGCTCTAGTTAAGATCTTAGCTGCAATGTATTTTGTTTTAGTTTGGGTACTTTTTAAAAAAGTTCTCACTGCTAACTTTTACTAAGTGATCACATTTTTGTCTTTTCTCTGGTCATGAGTCATAAGAAAAAAAAAATGCTAAATCTTCTATAAAATCAGTTATGCTGTGGATGATGCAAGAGTCAAGGGATTCTTGTGGCTCATGACAAAACGAAACGTGATGGGGTTTCTAATGAGGAGACGGGCAGTGCGGTCTTAGTCAGAGAGCATGATTCATTCACTGTCCTTTGGAAAAGTTCAATCACTCTGCCAGCAATTTTCCACAGTAAGCTTATGGTCCCAAGGAGCTTTAATGGTCATCTACAGTGAGACTTCCCAATGTAACTCCCACACACACTGAATATGAGAATGCAGTACAGACACACTACCCACTCTTGATAGCATGACATAACATTTGACATATTAGTTATTTAAGACATCTCAGAGTAACGATGTCTTTATTTATTTTGATTGCAGCATGTAAAAATGATAGCAGTGAACTATCTTAAAAGCTATGATTTCCAAATAGAACTCAACCTTAACACCTAAATGATAAAGTACTTGAACTGATAGGAATGAAACCATAGAAGAATCACACTAATAATAATTTATAGAACCAAAGAGTTCCCAAAATATTATGCTCGCAACAAAAACAGATTATCAGGATGTTCTCCCAAAGTATGAACATTACACTCTGATTATGATTTTTTTAATGCCTTCTCTGATTAAACTCTGATAATATCTGACCCTGAGCCATTTATCCCAGCGAGTTGACTTAGCAAGCCCATCCTGCCCAGACATTGGTCCCACTTTTTTCCCATTTGATTCTTACTGTTTCTTTCTCTAGGATAGTCAAGGTATCTCTCTTTTATTTTTCCTTAATAATTTCCATCACAGAGTTAATCTAATAGAATACTGAGAAAGTCAGTAGTTTACTAAGTTTTCTCTCCTCTTTTAGGGATTGATGCAGAGTTGCAACCAGATGCACGCCTCCTACCTGTTCCAGCAAGATAAACACTACGACTTATCCTATGACACTGGAGACAAGGCCTTGCAGTGCGGACGCCATGTTGATGTCTTTAAGTTATGGCTGATGTGGAGAGCAAAGGTGAGCATGTGTAGATCGGCTGAGTGTCTACTAAGAACACAAACTGAATCTTAGAGTTATATGTTAATAATTGATTTCCAAATTGAAAAGCACTTACCCAAGATTAAGTTTGCTTTAAAAAAATTATATATATACTATTTAATTTCAGAGAGGAAGGGAGAGTGAGAGAGAGAGAGTGAGATAGAAACATCAATGATGAGAGAGAATCATTGATTGGCTGCTTTCTGCACTCCACACCCGAAATTGAGCCCGCAATCTAGGCAGGTGCCCTGATCCATAACCTCCTGATTCATGGGTTGATAATCAATCACTTTGCCATACTGTCCAAGAAGATTAAGTTTCTTTAAAGCCATATCTACATATCTGCATTCTACGATGGGTAAGAATATAATAAAATCCATTATATATTTTTTCTTTTAATCCAGTTTGCTCTGAATGTTCATTTATCTAGAAAACAAATCTATGTTGCTTTATGTATCACAATTCTGATATTTAAGAAGTGTTTTGTTGTTTTATCCCAACTCTTGGCTTTTACCCACTGATTGATGACAGTGCACATTAACTGAATCTAAAAGTATATGTTTGGAGAACAAAAAAGGAAAAGGAAAAACCCATCACTGTCACTTATTTTTGACATTTCAAAGGGGTAACCTCTAGTTATAATCTTTTTAAAAACCTACAGAAGTGCAGTTTCTCCTTTGTATGATTTTTTTGGTTGACTTCAGAACTTAACTGTGGATGATGACTCCTCTCTCAGAAACAAACTCTGTATCTAATGGTTTGCAGTACTGGCTGGACCTAAATGTAGCCTTCTAAGGGCATTGTGTATATTTAAGTGTAAGTGGCTGGAAAGCCTGAAAAAAAAAAAAAAAAAAAATATATATATATATATATATATATATATATATATATATATATATATTTTTTTTTTTTTTTTTTTTCATTTTGACCAGACTCTTAACTTAAATGTCACAAATCAGTGACTTCACATCTGGTCTCATTTATCTCCCACAGGAAGCAATGCCTAGAGCCAGCTGGACATGCTAGAAAAGCCCAACTGCTAAAAGAGTACAGGAGGAAAACTTGACAAAGGAAGCAATAGGAAGGAAATTGGAAGTCCTTAAGCCCTGATGTTCTATATGGAAGGGAAAGGACCCAATACAAACATGAGACAGGCTCAATCCCATAGGAACAACCAGATAACTAAGTCTGCGGGGCTGAGACATGCCAGGATTAGACCACAGACTGGGCTTTTCCTTGGAATTGTGTAAAAAGGTCTGAGCCATCTCCAAACTCACGAGTCCCTTATGCTTGTTTATAAAATTTTCAAAGTAAAATGAATTGCCATAAGCATTTAAAAGAGGAGGATGGTTAACAAGAAAAAGAGGGAGCTTGAAAGTCAAACAATATAGTCCATCATGATTTTTATAGGCTCTTCTTTAAATTCATCCTGGGGGAAAAAGGCAGGTGAAACAGAAAGAAGATTCATGCAGAAATAACACTCAGGTGATCTCCTGGGATGACTAGACAGCTTGCCCTGCAGGCAAACCTCCATAATGCTGTTCACCCCAGCTGAATGTTCTCTTTGAGTTGCTAAGTATTAAGTAGCTGCCTAGAATGAGGCCCCGGATTAGTTTTTATCCCATTAAGGTAGTGTGATGGGTGAGGTGGGCAGGAAACCTTTTCCTCTTTTGAAAGGTGAAAGCTGACAAGGACACTTTCCTTTGAGAAAAACAAATAAATAAAGAATATGAATTATTGGTGTATTTTCAAGCTATCAAAAGGAATGGGCTTTTCATTTCATCAATTGGTGGGAATTACAAAATATCAGCCAGTTAAGTTGAGGTAAGCTTGATCTCTAAATATTGTTCAGTACCATCCTTTTGGTCTCCTTTCCTGTGGCATTTTTATTAAGATGATGATCATCAGCCACGTTTACACAAAAATGTTTCTCTCATGCTTCATCAGTTCCTGCTGTTCCTTTTCCATCTGAAGCTTCCTCACCAGCATGGTGCAGCCGCTTGGTGCTTAGAGAAATAACTCTGAGGACATCAGGTGTGAATTAAACAGCAGGAATAAATGAAGCCTGAAATGAAGGCAAAAGATCCAGTTTCTAAAGTGTTGAAATGAAGGCACCAGGAGAGGGGGAGGGAGGAAGAGGAAAAAGAACAATCCCAGCAGCCACATAACTTATGAACACATGGTCTCTTAATTCCTGTGTAAGACCTTAAGCAGCTAGACATCTAAAAAGCAATCTGGCTTTCAGAAAAAAAAAAGGCTGCATTTTTTGCAAAGGGAATTGATAATAATAATTAAAATAATAAATGTAGTCCTACACTTTGGATCAGAGGTGAGGATAATTGCCTTCTCACATCATAAACTGTCTAGTAATGCCAGCCAGGAAAGGGGAGGTCATTTCTCCTGAGAAAATCCAGGAAAGAGTGAGCCAAGATCTTCTCTCTGACATGCCCTCTTGCTCTGAGGAATGAGGATACAATCGGAAAAATCAATAATCATTAAACCCTCTGTTATTTGAAACGCCTGAAGAATGCAGTGTTTCAAGTGAATCCACATTTTCTCTCAAGATAAACTACTTGAAAGATAGCATCCTATGTATAAATTACTATTCCTTAATCTCTTAATGATTAATGGAATGAAGTGCACTGATGACAGCCATCACATTAGGTCCAAGATTACTTGATTAGACCAAATTTATTTTTTAAAAAGCCTCCTGATGTAGGATCCTGGGAGGTGCTCTAGACTGCTTCATGGTATCTGTGTTTAGCAAGGACACTGAGCCTGCCCTCAACTTTATTCTAATTGAGTAGAACTTTTATTTTGTCTGATGATTATTTTCCTTCTTGACAGATTTCTTCAGTGGTGAAAACTTGTGGTAGAAAAAAGTGTTTAAAATTAGTCCCCCTTTTTGACCTGCAGGGATGATTTAATATGTAACTAATGAGTCTTCACAGTAAATCCCTGTGTCTGTATCTTTATGCCAATTGACAGGTTTCATTTTTTATATAAATATATTTTTATTGATTTCAGAGAGGAAGGGAGAGGGAATGAGAGATAGAAACATCAATAATGAGCTGAAACCGGTTTGGCTCAGAGGATAGAGCGTTGGTCTGTGGACTGAAGGGTCCCGGGTTCGATTCTGGTCAAGGGCATGTACATTGGTTGGGGTGTGCAGGAGGCAGCTGATCAATGTTTCTCTCTCATCGATGTTTCTGGCTCTCTGTTCTTCTCCCTTCCTCTCTGTAAAAAAATAAATAAAATATATTTTTTTAAAAAAGAAAAAGAAACATCAATGATGAGAGAGAATCATTGATCGGTTGCCTCCTGTTCGCCCCACACTGTGGATCAAGCCTGCAGCCCTGGCCTGTCCCTTCACCAGGAGTCAAACTGTGACCTCCTGGTTCATAGGTCGATGCTCAATCACTGTGATTGGCCTCCTTAATTTCAATGTGGATAACAAGTGGACTGGCAAATGGCTGAGGACTTCCACTCCCTTTGCAACACAATCAAACTCACTTTCAGAGCATGCGTGTTACCTTGTTATGCTCTGTGTGGGAAATCACAGAGGCACCGCTATTCCCACCTGACCAGAGAGATTAGCCAAGGTCATACACTGGACAGGATCAGAGTCATGCTGGTCCTGCCATATCCTGGATCAGATGTGCGCAAATTTAAATTTAGGTCTAGCCTGGTCCAAAGAATCTCATTTAAAGAACAACTAACCTCCCTCCCTCCTATCTAGGGTCCATCCCAAGTGGACCCAAACTTCTAGGTCAGTTTAAACCACTCCTAATTTCTTTGACACCCACACACTCATGGAGCAGACTGTGTGGGTGTTAGTGTGAGCATGCAAATGTCAGCCCAGTCCTTCCTTGGGCTCATCAGGAACCACTCAGCTTCCTTAAATCCATCAGCTAGGGCAACAATCTCCAGGGAAATAGATTGCTAAACCTATGAGATTTTTTTAACACCATCTTATTCTTAAATATGTGTCATACACTAAATGTCACTGCATGTGCTGGGTCCCTCTTTTGGCTAGAATGACAGGATTGTGTGTAAACAGGAAAGTGGGCTCATCTTGTCTCCATTACAATTGCTCACTCTAGTTTCCATGTTGGATTAGTCATTGGTGGGCCAGTTCTAAGAGCTCCTGGAATGAGCGTCAGCTGCTTTTCTAAGCTTTCCATCAACATGCCACAAGCATTGAAGGCAAGCCATTTTAAAAAACAGTGTGGCCTGACGTCAGTTAAACAGTCCGGGTCCAAGGCAGCTGGGCTGTTTTTCCTAAGTCCAGACCCTGGGCTCCGGAACTGAAAGCTGGAAGGCTTCTGTGACCTCATTGGCCCATCACACACACATCAGCCATTGATCCCCTGAGGAGAAATCAAATAAGCTTTGCATCCTGACAGGCTAACAAAGCATCTTCATGCCCCTAAAGATTCATTCATTCAAATATTCACTGAGACTGCTCCTGTTTGTTCTATGATGGGGTACATTTGGTAAACAAAAGCGGGGTCTGGAAATGACAAATTTACATGATGGGCAGGGCCTAAGCAGCCTCGGGTGTGAGGGTCGGGGTGGTCTCTAATGATGCTTCTTATCCACTGGAAGGGAAGAGCCCAGCCCTCCTGTCATTAATGACTTCCATAATTACCCCTATGAATGCAGACACAAATTTTCCCCTTGAGTAATCAAAATAATTGCCTCAGGAATGGAGGCCATGAGAAGAAAAGGAGTCTCCATGGAGAACAGTAATGCCAGAAGGAAAGGGAACAAAAACACCTGAGGGGGAGAACAGTAAAGGAGAAAGAATTGCCAGAAAAGCTTCCTGAAACACTCTCTTCTATTAGGGGAGAAACAGAGGTGGCAGGAAGACCATCTGTCTCGAGGGATCACTTGTCCCATAGCTCAGTCTGGGTGCTCAGTCTGGGTGCTCAGTCTGGATATTCACCACTTTTCTCGGCCTGCCTGAGTCTCTTCTTCTCTCACTCAGGGAACTGCTGGGTTTGAAGCACATATTGACAAGTGCTTGGAGCTGGCAGAGTATTTATACAATATCATAAAAAACCGAGAAGGATATGAAATGGTGTTTGATGGAAAGGTATGTTTTCTGATTTTTACAATAGCAAAATGTTTAGTTAATTGCCATTCTTGTGCTTGATATATTTTTTAATGTCAATAATGTATTATACTATCCAGGTAAGTGGATCATTACAAAGGAGAAGCAGGGATGAGGGGGTAGCTCTTCTAAGTTGGAGTAAAAATCATACTCCCCAAAATATAACGGCAATGGGAGATATCTTTAACACTATCAACAATAAAAATATATTAATAAAAAAAATTAAAAGGAACTGAATAATGTTGTGAAAGTCAGGCACTTCAAAGGTGATTACAGATTTAAAAGTAGGAATTGTATTTAGAAGCTGCAGAATAAGTAGGTTAGAAACGTCCTTGGGATTTTCAAAATTGCCAGTTTGTGCTGAGTGTGAATCTTATTTTCCTCTATGTAGCCTCAGCATACAAATGTCTGCTTCTGGTATGTTCCTCCGAGTTTGCGTGTCCTGGAAGACAACGAAGAGAGAATGAGCCGTCTTTCAAAAGTAAGTGATACAAGCTTCTCTGATACGGCCATTCGTGATACATTAGGGCTTTCCCATGTATATTTTCATGAGATATTCATAGGTCTGTAGGAGAAATCCATCCTTAACTTGGTGCATGACCCTCACCCCTCTGTGGGCTCCTGTGGAGCCAGGGCATGCAATGCTGGTATATCCAGACTTTTACAATTGTACTTACTGGCATTGACTGACGTGCCAAGTGAAATAGGTGCTCAGTTACAAGCACAGAAGAGACTTCGGGCACCAGAAATAATTGGGAAAGAAAGTGGCTGCTGATCCTCCTGAGCTGTCAAGGTCAAGGCTGCCCTGTGGGCCGTTGGAGCTGTGGTGATTCCCAGAAGGTAACAGAGCAGGGAGCAGTAATAAGGACCACTGGGTAGTGTGTGGTGTGTCCCAAGCTCAACTTGATCTAGCATGACATCATGTCTCTCTCATAGCCACTTTGGGAAGCTTTGTTGTATCTCTGCTCCACTGATGGGGAACCTGAAACACAGGGAGAAAAGTCACTTTTTCAAAATCACACCCAAGTCTGACCTCAGAGCATGCTATAAACTATACTGTGGCCAGTAAACCCATTTTCTCTTATCATGTCCTGCTCCCATCACTTCACACAAGTGAAATATGAGTTATTATGCCTACCAAAGAGAGCCTTGGGGGGGTGGGGGGGGGCACGGATAAATGTAGGGATCCATCTCCCACAGTGTTGGAGAAATGGGAAACTAGGGATGAGCCTGTATATTTGGATCTTTAAGGTGGATGGGTTGGCTGGTTGGCTGGCTGTTTGCGTGGTTGATTAGTTGGTTAGTTTTCTATTGTCCACAAAGGAGAGACGTCCTCCAGTCACTGTCCAGAACAGAGGAGGCACCCCCCTCTCACCCATCCCCACTAAGGCTGCTGGGCTCCCTCAATGACCTTCTGGAACACCTTATTTTCTTCTGTGTTAAATAAAGAACAGGGTTTTATGTGGGGTTTAAAACCTCCAGAAAAGCTTATAAATGTTAATACCTCCCCTTAGAGACCCAGACAGAAGACAACTTACACATAGTTGAGGTTCTTAAATTACAACTTCCAGTTAGACCTTTGGTTCACATCCCTGGCTACACATTAGTGTTTGTTCCCAAGCTTTATAAAATACTGGTGACCAACTCTTACCCCAAGATTTTCATCTAATTTGTTTTGAATGGGCTTGGGGATAGTTCTACAAGTTCTCCAGGGGATTTCAATGTAAAACCCAGACTGAGAGGCAGTGACTTAGACCAGTGGTCAGCAAACTCATTAATCAACAGAGCCAAATATCAAGAGTACAACGATTGAAATTTCTTTTGAGAGCCGAAAGCCAACTTCTGCACATGGGCCATGAAGTTTCAATCGCACTGTATGTGCATGCCTGCATGTGGTGTTTTGTGGAAGAGCCACACTCAAGGGGCCAAAGAGCCACATGTGGCTCGCGAGCTGCAGTTCACTGACCACTGACTTAGAGGAAGAATGAAAAAAGCTTCTAGAGCATGGGTGTGTATGTGTGTCTGGGGTGGAAGGGATCGTAGCTATGTTTGCAAGTTTAGAGAAGTTGGTTCATTGCAGGAAATTAAGCCAAGGGCATAATGGAGAAAGGATGGTCATATTGGAGAAAATTATAGGTTCTTGAAAAAAATAAAAAATGATCTGCTACTGTTTGAGAGGAAAGAATTCATTTTTTTCTGGAATTTCTATGGTATCTATTATCTTAACAATAACTAATTTCATTTGATAAGTTAGTTAGAAATTAGGTATTTCCATTTTCATTGGCGTTCGCTCCTTTAACTCTGTGACTAGGCAGAAAATACATAGAGTAGTTTGGCTGATTCCATTTGTTAAATTGACCAATTATTGCTGGGCTGAGGGATGGATCAAGATGGGAATACAAAACAAAAAGAATTTTTCATCATTTTCTGAGCAAAAGTCAACTCTGAGTTCCCCAATTAAATACAACTTTCTTCAAATGCCTCTTAAATTTAGCACATCACATAAACTGTAATGGAATGGAAATTATTTCTTGAGAACAGCCATTAGAATATTAGTAAGTTACTTTTATGCTGTAGATAAATTAAATTTGAAAGTCTCCTGGTATAGCAAAATGAATTCTCTTAATTTCCTCCTAACCTTTGACTCCATTTTTCTAACTCTAATAGAGAGAATTCAGCAATTCTAAATTGGAAATCAAAATAGAACCACAAATATCAAGGTTAAATTTCTTTTATGTCAATAATTTTTTCAGAGTTTCAGAAAAGTTTTTCATTAAGTACAAAGCACTTAACCTATAATGTTTAGGGTCCAGTAAAATTGTTACACATGATCCCAGAAAGAAAAGAGCTGAGGCAAAGTAAATCATTTGCATAGTCCAATGTAGTAGTAATAGCCATATGTGGCTTTTCAAATTAAAATCAATTAAAAATAATTTTAACCAGAATTTTACTAGCCACATGTCAGGTGCTCAATTTGTGGCTAGTGCTTATTATTCATGTGTAGGGGATGGCCCTCAGCCGAACCTGCACCCTATCCAATCTGGGACCCCGTAGGACATTCCTCTCACAATCCGGGACTGCTGACTCCTAACCATTCACCTGCCTGCCTGCCTGATTGCCCCTAACCACTTCTGCCTGCCAGCCTGATTGCCCCTAACTGCTCACCTGCCAGCCTCATTGCCCCCAACTGTCCTCCTTTGGTGGTCCGATCACTCCCAACTGCCCTCCCCTACAGACCTGATAGTACCCAACCGCTCTTCCCTACAGAACTGGTCTCCCAACTGCCCTCCCCTGCCAGCCCTATTGTTCACAACTGCCCTCCTCTGCCAGCCATTTTGTGGTGGCCATCTTGTGAGGAAATGGGGCAGCCATCTTGTGATGACGTGAGGGCTTTTATTAGTATAGATACTGATTGGCATATTTTCAAAAGGTCAACTATAGAATTAAGAGTAAATTTGTAAAGAAGTATTTGACCTTATATTTGTTGTGACTCTTCTGATATTAAATGTAATAGGGAGACTTAAGCATTATAGAATGTCTTATTTATCATTATTCTGCTATTTCATTTTTCAAACTTTTCACTCACACTTCCAAGATTTAAAAACAAAAAGATTTTGTAATACACAGTGAAAACATACATTTTGTGATGCTTTAATCTGAGCTCTTTTAGGAGGTAGGAAAAATGTGTATTCAAATTATGAAAGAGTCCTCTGGTTATTGTTTTCTAAAGGGCTGGAAAACCTAATGGCACCATGGAGAAAATAATACCCTAAAACTTTTAAGGTGGCTCCAAAGAACTCTTGCTGATTAGGCCCTTAGTGAATTCTTCAACATGCAGTCCTCTATTTTTTAACTGACTTTCTTAATTCAGCAAACCAAAAAATGTTACACACACATCCGAGAGATAAGTGAAAGCTCTATATAGTCATCAGAATAATCAGAATTTTATTTTCCTTTTTAACTTGCAAATTAGTGATTATGTAATGAAATAGATGTTCCATGTTTCTGCTAATTTTAGTTCATCAGCATTTTCTGGAAACAACTAAAAGTCACATGTATTTAAACAGCTGTGATTTCTGCCATCCCAGCTAGCTTCAGGAACTGGACTCAATCTTACTTAATGCCAAAATCTGGGAGGATGGCTGTTACCATTAATCTTTTAGCTTTTGATTTGCATTTATCTGAAAAGTTAGAGGTGGTGGTTCTTAATAATTAGTTTCATTCCTATATGTTTTCCTGTGCAAACTAAATAAGGGTTTAATTCACTAAATATGGTCATTGTTTTATCAGTTCTAAAGAACAAACATAATTGTTGCACAGGTAAAACTAAGGAACACTTATGTGATTTTTTTTTTAAGTTCTTGCAGATACATGGATTTGGAATTCCTTTTTTTTTTAATCATAATTTTTTTATTTATTTCTTTTTCATTCCCATGATATTATGCTTTTATGGGATCTTGCTCTTTTCTTTTATAGAAGTCCCAACATGCAAAATAGAACCCTTTCATTTTTAGATTTAAAAATATTTAAGCAAAATACGTAAAAAAAATCATTCAATTCTTTGAATAGACAAGAAATTTTGAAATTAGTTCAAATGATAATGCACATTTTATTTTATATTTTACATATATATTTAGTAGTGTTTTTATTTTATTTTATTTTATTTTATTTTATTTTATTTATTGATTAAGGTATTACATATCTGTCCTTATCTCCCCATTGGCCCCCACCCACCCCTGCTCATTCTCTTCCCAGGAGCACATTGACTTGCTCTGCCTCCTAGAACAAAGTGGTAAATTTCATTTCCTTAGGCTAGAATATTCTAGGCAATCCATTTTCAGAACTTAATCCCAAATTTGAAATATTAAATTATTATTTATATTTACTAGAGATCCAGTGCATGAAATTTGTGCACAGGGCAGAGGGTGTCCCTTAGCCTGGCCTGAACCCTCTCCAATCTTGGACCCCTCGAGGTGCATCCCTCTCACAATCTGGGACTGCTGGCTCCCAATCGCTCACTTGCCTGCCTGTCTGCCTGCCTGATTGCCCCTGCTTCTGCTTGACAGCCTAATCGACCCTTACCTGCTCCCCTGCCAACCTGAGTGCCCCAACTTCCCTCTCCTGAAGGCCTATCAACCCCAACTGCCCTCCCCTACTGGCCATCTTGTGGCTGCCATCTTGTAATGACGTCAGGCAAGAGAATGGCAAGAGAGTGTGATGCCACCTAGTCTTTTATTATATAGGATTCCCTTGGATAAGGCCAATGCTCTGGATAGTTTTAATCCTTTGAGTTGAAAGAAGGATCAACCCAACAGAAATATCCCTCTTTATATTTCCTCCCCATAGAATAAGAAAGGGACTTAAGAATTTGTTATATTGAATCAAAAAACTCAGCGCTGGAACCATCCTTCACATTTTTAGATGAGGAAATTAGGTTTAGGAAGTGAAGGTAAAATGAAGGTGAAGGTGCAGTTTGTCTTTAGTAATGAAGGATAGCAGTGTTTGCCATCCCAACATATGTCTTTTGAGATATTAATTATTTTAAGCTGATTACTAAGAAACAAACAATTCAGAAATAACCTTTGACCATCCCCCTTTACCTACCTAAAGAAATTTAGATAGAGAACATGCTCCAGGGAAGGAAATATTATCACAGGTAACTATAGTTTAATATAAACTAAGTGCAATCAACAGGAAAGAACCTAGCATGTTCCTTTTGATCAAAGACTTCTCTGTATCTTATTGTTAAATATGGCGCAGAAAACATTTATTTACCACACTTTTGCTTTTTCATCTCCATAAAAATTTCTTTCCTGTCCCAAATCACAACTCACCTCCTCTTTTCCTTAGCTCAAGATGGCATAAAAGCCCTTAACTGTACAATCTGCCCAAGGTTCTCATGTTTATGGCACCTGTAAAATAATGTTTGGAGATTTTCTCCTGATAAACTGTGTACATCAAATTTTTTTTATTAATTTATCTAGATGAATTTAGAAGGTGGGAGGAAAAATTTTTTTATATCCCCAGTTTCTAAAAATTCACTTGTCTGATGAGAACTACATTGATTTTGTGCATTGAGTGCTTTGAAGATGAAAACCTCATTGTAAACCAATGATTATTTATGTGTTGGCTTTGAAAAGTGATTATGTTCCTAGCAGCATTCAATTGGAATCTAAATATCCTTCATTTCATATAAATGATCCCCATTTTTAACTGAGTTGTTGTCTATGTATATCTGAATGAGTCCACAGTGTTTCTATCACCTACTATTTCTGGTTACATGTTTACAGCAATAAATTTAAAAGATTAGATGTTATATTTATAGGCTATGGTGATAACATATCGTTGGGCAGACCATACATACAGTTAGACATAATTTAAATGTATGCCTTTATAATCAATAAGGGATTCCTCAATAGGCACCAAGTATCACAGTAAACAAAAGAAATGGAAGGCACTGTGCTTGCCAGTGAAGTAGAGATAAAATGTATTTTTTCATAAGAGGACAAATGGAAATTAGAATATAGTCATAACCTAAAGATAAGGATCATATAGTGATGAATTAAAAGAGAGAGATTTTAGTGGACTAGAGAAATCAGGAAGGTGTTCATAGCAGTTGTAAGACTGTGGTGTAGCCTTGGATTGTGTGTTCAATGTGAACTATAAGACAAAAAGAGATTTTAAGCAAAGAGATCAAGTGTGACAGAACAAGTATGAAGGAATAAAAATATGTATACCATAGTACACTCCAAGGGTATTATATAGGTAGCTCGTGTCAGAGTTGAAGGTTTATTTTGGTGAGCACTAAAAGATGAGTCCTCAGAGCTGGATGACAGGCCTTTATACTGAGTGAAGAGTTTGACTTTAATTTCATACACAATAGAGGAAAAACCTCAACTGTGGGTGACTTCTATGTTGAGTTCTTATGGGTTCAGCCTTTTGCCTCAGTGGATTCTTCATCATTATTAAGGAACATATTTCAAAATATCTTATAAATTAAGGAAATGCAAAAGGTGAGTGAAAATGAACTAGGAAGCTTTAGTGTCTCAATAAAAAAAATTGCTGTAGAGTCTCAAAAGTCTTCTGATTTTCATACATCACTTGATAGTGAGGCTTACCTTTTGGAAACCATTCTCTGAACAAAGTCTTATTTCCAATGTTTCTACATTTATTGAGGGGGAGGGATACCCTCTCTCAAATGTTGTACTGCTAAACTATTTAGCCTTGGACCAACACCAGATTCTTCTCATTCTCCCAAAATACTGACTAGAAAGTCAAGAAAGAGGTAGCAATTACTTAATAGCCTACTGATACGTGGTTGGATGTTTTATACTTTCTCATATTTCAAATCATTGATTTGATTCTTGGGATCCTCTAATCTATTGGTGAATACCTGTATATTATTCTTTATTTCAGTCATTGTATGCTTAATTTCTGATTGGTCCTTTTCCTTTTATTTTTTGCATTTGCACTAAGATCCTTGAAAGTATCACTAAGTTCCTTGGTGGTTTCTAGACAATTCTTGAGTAACCTTATAACTGTGGTTTGAACTCTATATCCAGCATTTTTCTTTCTTCCATTTCTTTCATTTGTGACACGTTTCTTGGCTGCTTTCCTGTGTTTGTTTCTATGTCTTGGGTAGCTGCTAAGAAGTCTCCTTGAATTGACAGAGTGGCTTTGTGTAGTAGATGTCCTATAGGGCACAGTAGCTCAGCTTCCCCAGTCACCTGACGTAGACACTCTTGGTGCACCCCTTTGTGGGCTGTGTGCTTAGTTTTGTTGTAGTTGAGCCTTGATTGCTTTTGGTGTCACTGGGAGGAATTGACCTCTAGGCCAGTTGGCTGTGGGGACAAGCTGCAACTACAATGGGAGAGATGCTGTGCAAGAGACACCCTTATGGAGCAGGACTTGCTTCAATGGGGCTTTAGTGCTCACTGAGTCTGCCCCTCGAGTGTGTCACTTATGGATGTGAAGAGTTGTAATCTGGTACAGTCTCACACTGACCACTGGTACACTGGCTCTTGGGTCTCCAGGGAGGTGCAAAGTCATCCACTTCTTGGGGCCATCCAGCTGGAGCTACAGAGAGATATGCAGATTCCTCCACTTTGTATTGGGTTTGGAAGTGCCCAGATGAGACCCAGCTGTAAAGCAAGGCAGGCAGGTGCTGGTACTGGTTTTTGGACCTTTTATTGATAGGTTTGGGGCTCTCTGACCCAGCCATAGCTTCATATGCAAAAGCCCACAGCTTGGGTGAGGTTGTAAATTGAATAGGGTGGGGTTTCATGGAATCACCAGGGTGAAGCAAACAGAAATGGCTGCCAGTCAGCTTTGTCCTGCGGAGGTGCCAGCACAGGAACAATGACCACTATGAGAACCTCTGTCTGGAAGAAAGCCAACTCTGAGTTACTGCCCCAGTGCCAGACAATCCAGTTTCTCCCCATTTGTGTCTGGATCCCCCAGAGCCTCTTCCAGCACTGGAGCTCAGAGGAAGTGTGAGCTTGTAAATTCAGTTCATGGTGCTAGCCTTTTAAGAGGAGCAGCTGGGTATCCAGCAGCCTGTGTGTCGCTCATCTCCAATCTGCACAGGTTTTTACAGTCCGTAGTTCTTACAGTCCATAGGGACTTCTTTCCCCAGCCCTTGAATTCTGGGCTGGGGATCTGGTGTGGGGCATGGGCCCCTTGCTCCTCAGGTGGCCTCTGCAGAGGCAATCTCCCTCCTGATTAAAAAAGCAGCACACCTGGGTGCCAGACTAGCCTGTTCCGTGCCTCCACACTTCCTACCAGTCTCAGTGTGCTTTCTTCTTTACCTCTCTTTTGTAGTACTTCAACCCAGCTAGCTTTTCCACAGTTCTGGATGATAGTTGTTCTGTATTTTAGTTGTAATTTTGATGTGATTGTGGAAGGCAGTGGGTACAGGCTTTTACCTATGCCATCATCTTGGTTCTGGAAGTTTATTTTAAGCATATATAGGCTCCCCCTTGGGCGGGGCCACCAAAGGGGAACTCCAAATGGAAGGGATCCCCAAAATGGGAAAGCCTTGCTCTTTCTAAAATGGGAAAAACCTAGTCCTATGAGTCTCTTTGTTTATATGTTTATAAATGCTGGAATGTTCTTTGTCTCTTCCTGTCACTTAATTGGACACTTCCTTATTTTATGTCCCCCATGTTTTCCCAATTGGCCACCTCTCCACCCCGTTCCTTATTCCTGCATGTTATCAGTTTCATCATTTCAAAGCTCACCTGGTGCCCCCCACCCCTTCTTCTTCCCATTATCTTGTTACATTTTTATAAGTAATCTGGCAGCTTAAAGCTGTCTCTGCCTGTCACATATGCATTCCTCTCCCATGGACACACCTTCCCTAAAACCCACCTCTCCTAACTCTAAAATCCTTTCACTACCATTTATTATTCCTCTGATCACCTTTAAGATTTAAATATACAGTTGCTCCAGGCCTCCAATCCCAAGGAAGCTTAGAGGCAATTCCTTCAAGGAAAAACAAATATAGTTCTAATTGTTTAGTTAAAAGCTGAAAATGCTACTTGATAGCAGATTATCTGACCCAGGGGAGAGTCCCCAGGAGAAACAGTCACCATGTTGGTCCGGTCTCTCACACAGGTGGCTCCGGTGATTAAAGCCAGAATGATGGAGTACGGGACTACAATGGTCAGCTACCAGCCCTTGGGAGACAAGGTCAATTTCTTCCGAATGGTCATTTCAAATCCTGCAGCCACTCACCAAGACATCGATTTCCTGATTGAAGAAATAGAACGCCTCGGACAAGATTTATAATAAACTAACTCACTAAGTTGTTTCAATTCTCTAGGTAGACAATTAAGTTATCACAACTTGTGTGAATGTATTTGTAGTCTGTTCCAAAGTAAATCTATTTCTATATTGTGGTGTCAAAGTAAAAGTACAGTGAAAAACAACAACAACATCGCTCTTTTAAAAAATCTTTCTTAAGTTAGAATACTTCTCTAATAATTAGCGTCAAAGGCTGTGTTCTAATCAATAAAGAAAAGCTTAAAATTGTTATAAGTACTTCCCTTACTTTTAATAGAGTATGCAAATCAAATGTTATTTTCACTTAACAGTAGTAGGATTGAATAGTGCCAAATTGCCCCTGAATCATAAAAGGTTCTTTGGGGTGCAGTAAAAAGGATAAAGTAAATATAAAATGTATGTTGACAATAAAAACTCTTGCCTTTTTCATAGTATTAGGAAAAAAATTCTAATTTACCTATAGCCACATTTCAAATGTATTTAAATACATATAATTTTACAAAAGTAATATATATATATTAAAAAGAAATCCTATTTTGTAACATATAGATTTTTATTTTATATGGGTTATATGCAGGGGGCAGATATAAAAACTAAGCCAGATTTTTTTTTTCTTTTCATGGAGGGACAAAAAAAACACTTAGCAGTTATTTTAAAACATAGGCCCACAAAATTCTTTAAAAAGGTATGATGCCTTCTTTGTATTCATGTTATGGCTTATCACATCTCTAAAGTCAGTATTATAAAACAAATACAAAATAATACTGCAAGTCCCTTACTATAATTGATCAGATAAACAATAAGATTCCCTTCCCATTTAAAAATGTTTTCCACCCAGTTGATTTTTTTGCCGATCTGCTCAGTGATCATAACAAGCCAAGCTTCATCTTAGACTAAATTAGGGTAATGGTCTCTATTCTACTTTCCAGTTCATCCTATTTTAAACAGAAGGTTGATGCTAATTCTCATGGCATCTTTCCAAATCATAATATTTTATTAGGTCATTTGGATTCAAGAAAAATAAAGTCTAATCAGCCTGAGTGAAGAAGAACAAAGCACACTCCAGAATGTGGTGAGCCCAGAAAATAAAAGCCAACAAATGGGAAAAGGGATGTCTGCTTGAGAAAGATGGTGTTAGCCTACTGTCCAGAGTCCTTTACCACCCGAGTAATTGCTTAGTTTCATTTCCAACCACCTCTACGAACGAAAGTCTCCCCTGCTTACGTGCCCCATCATTGGGATCCCAAATAATTAATTTCAACTTTATGGGTAGTTATTTTTTGTCCTTCTTGTGAAAATAGCTCCTCATCTGAGATTTTGAGACAGCACCTTAAGAACTTCTTTTCTCTATCTCCCATCTAGACTCAAAGTGCCCAGATTATGCAAAGATTAAGGTCCTTAGAAATCAAAACAATATTTGAAAGCATCCTCTGCCCCTGCAAACGTGATGGAGAGACATGAGCAAACAAGAGGTCCCACAGAGAGTTCTGAGCCTGCTGATTCTCAGATGTTGAGTGCTGGCAGAGGGGACTGTGGACTCATATGTGAGGCTGCAGACACAAATTTAGAAACATTTCTCCTTTCTCTATGGACCAGAAATCATTTTTACCAACAGGCGACTTTCCCCACCCCTTGCTCCTTCCAGGTCCTTCTCCAAGTTTGCTGGGAGCTCAACCATGTGTAGTGAAACCCCTACCAGCCATAGCCCAGGGAAGGATGTAAATAGAAGACTAATAGGTCCCGGCAGTTTAATAAATATTCTTTAAAGTAGGTCTGTCACCCACTCAGGTAGGGGTGAGGGAGGGAGAGAGGTTGTTTTGAACATTAGACAAAATTCCCAGTGCCAAAGGCTTAGGTGGAACCATTCTTTACAAATTTTAGAAAAGTTTGGTTGTAGCCTTGATCAGAATGAACATGACCATTTTCATTTATACAGCAATATTGTGTTTATTATTTTTAAATACTTGAAACAAGTGTGGTATTGTCTTAATCTGAGACATATGAAGTGTATTGAATTCATGTATTATCACAAGGCTGTGAGGGAAGAAAAGGAATCAGTTGTGTATGTATCTGTGTTGCCTTTATTGTATTGATAGTACTGTCTTGTCACCTCAGATTGTGGTTGTGTGCTTTAGATATGAACTTTACAGTGCTGCAAATCAACATGTGTTGCTGTAAAAGCTTGTACAATATATTATTGACATGTCTTTTTTTTTCTGTGTGCTAGCTGTATCGATATTCTGAGAACTGCATTCGCACTGTTCCCGTAATCTCTTTCTCTTCCCCTCTCTGCTGAACTGTACACCCTCCATATCAGCTCTAATACAGAACATACCCTCAGCTAAGCACCCCACTGAGAACCTCCTTTGACAATTGTGATTTTACAGAAAGCAAGGTGAGTGCTACTTTATCTCTGAGAACAGAAGAAGCCAATATGGAATGTCACATGCTGCCATCCCTCCTGGGGTTTGGAGTAGGTCCTACTCCTTAGAATAAGGACAAAGAAAGCACAGGTGTCAGGTGTAAATATAAGGCAGGACAGGGAGTGCAGGACCCTAAAAGTGGAGATCACCTTGCATGTGCCATCCTGTTTTCAAATGCTAAGTGCAAACACTGTGTATTTATTAGCTACATGTGCCAAATAGTGTTCCCAAGTGGTGTTTCTGCAAAATGTCGCCATCTCTCTGGCATTATTCCGTTACCAAAAGAAAAAGAAAAAGACAAAATGTAAACATGTGGTAACCTGTTCTTACAAAACGTAAACTTGTGTATGATCTAAGTATTTTATCTGTGTCGTCTCTCTAAACCCAAATAAATGTGTGAATGTGGACACAGCTCTGGCTTTGTATTGTTATTTCTGACTTTGCCACACTGTGGAGCTCAGCTTTAGTGAGTTGCCTAAATAAAAGGCTCTTCACCTATCAGGGTGCTCAGCGTGTCTCTGGGTCTTGGTTGGGAAAAAGAGCTCTAGCCTCTGCAGTTGCCCACACTGTAGCATCTGAAGCACATTGCTTACCACTCTGGTTTCTCTTTCAGTCGGATCCAACCTTTGTAAATAATATTTTATTACGGAAAGTTTTGAGTACATACTTAAGTGGAGAAAACAGTACAATAGATTCTTTCCCATGAAGGACCCCCCTCTCTCCCCCAGCTTCAACATTTGCTGACTCAGGGCCTGAATCTCATTTCATTTATTCCCACATTTCATATCCTCCCCATCCCGAATTGTTTTTATATGAATCTGTAAAAGAGGATTCCTTAAATAAAAAAGGAATCCTCTTTACCATTATCACAACTAAAACTGTAATAATAAAATGTCCATAATCGTATCAAATATTCAGTGAGTGTTCTCCTTTCCCTGATTCTATAATAAATGCCTGTGGCCTGGGAGACCCACTGAGGCCCACAGGCTTTTCAGGGCAGCTGGGACACATGTGAATCAGACCGCCATACAACACTGTATACACATGGGCTATTGAGGTGGGAGTTTTTAACCTTAAAAACTAGAAAGTTTTAACCTTAAAAACTAGAAAGCCATGGGAAGGGAAGTGGTAGAGTATATTCTGATATGCCTTGCCAGGGACTTGTATGGCCAAAGGAATACAAATCAGATTAGTCTATGCTATGGGTGCTCTAAAGCCATGGGGAGGAGGTATCCTGAAGGACTGGGTTTGGTGGCCTGGAAACCGAAGCTTCTGCCAGGAGAAGTAGGATCCGTGGGCCCACGTTTTCATCCTTCCCATGAGGCAGCTACTGGAGCAGCTGCAGGAGTCAGACTGCCTGGCCTCAGGTGCCAGCTCTGCTATTTATCTGCTCTGTGACCCTCGACAAATCACTTAACCTCTCTGAACCTCCCTGAGCTCATCTGGTAAGTGAGGACACATACAGCACTTACACAAGGGTGATGGTGAAGGTTGAAAGGAGAAGAAAACTCAATGCCTGCCACATGGTGGATGCTCAGCATGTGGTAGTTTTACTTGTACTCTGGGCCGATGACTGGAAGAGCCAGGCCTCAGATGTAAGCCTTGCATCCCCCCTAACTCATCTAGACAAGATTGGGCTGAACCAAGAGAGCATGTGACCACAGCCCCTCCCCACAGAAAGCCCGGGTATGAATTATCCCGAGAAGGAAGACTGACTTGGCACTCCCCTCTTTCCTCCAAGCCAATAAAGAGTGCCAAAACCGGTTTGGCTCAATAGATAGAGCATTGGCTTGGGGACTGAAAGGTCCTGGGTTCAATTCCGATCAAGGGCATGTACCTTGGTTGCGGGCATGTCCCCAGTGGGGGATGTGCAGGAGGCAGCTGATCGATGACTATCTCTCATCGGATGTTTCTAACTCTCTATCTCTCTCCCTTCCTCTCTGTATAAAATCAATAAAAATATATTAAAAAAAAAAAAGAGTTTCCAACGTCTCAAAAAGCAAGTAGCAATGACACACTAAATGCTCTAAATTGAGGTTTATCCCTTCCCAACACCTGCCGCTCTTAGTTCTGGCCTGGAAGCACGTGCTGGATAAACACAAACAAACCACAGCCTAAATGGCTGCACAGACCCTTCTCTCCTTGCTTCCCACTTTTGGAGAAAATATTTATGGTCTCTATTTGAGTGTCAGCACTGAGGCTTCTGGCTCAGGAAAACTAATTAAAAGTGTATTACAGTTGACAAGAAAAGGACTTTCCAGAGAAATTTCAATTTATTTGAACTTGATTACTTTGAAAATTCCAAGAAAATTTTATTATGCAAACTTGACCAGAGGAGAGCTCAAAATTTCAATTTAGAGTTTAGACAATCAAAAGGAAATCTTGTTGCTAAAGCTTTTGCTTTTTCTGTATTTACTTTTAAGTCTGTTTTATTATTGTGGAGATCAGGAGAGTAAAGAGAAATTTTCTTGTCCTAGCTGTTTTTCCTCAGTGGATAGAGCGTTGTCCTGTGGACTGAAGAGTCTTGAGTTCAATTCCATTCAAGAGCATATGCCAAGGTTGCAGGCTAGATCCCCAGTAGGG